CCTCAGGGAAATGCAAATCAAAACCACAATAAGATACCACTTATCCCCAGTGAGAATGGCCTTTATCAAAAAGTCCCAAAACAAGCTGGGCATGGTGGCTCATGCCTGTAATCCTAGCACTCTAGGAGGCCAAGGGGGGTAGATCATTTGAGCTCAGGAGTTCGAGACCAGCCTCAGTAAGAGCAAGACCCCAACTCTACTAAAAATAACAGAAAGATATAAGCTGGACAACTAAAATTATATATTAAAAAATAGCTGGGCATGGTGGTACATGCCTGTAGTCCCAGCTACTTATGAGGCTGAGGCAGAAGGATTGCTTGAGCCCAGGAGTTTGAGGTTGCTGTGAGCTAGGCTGACACCACAGCACTCTAGCCCAGGCAACAGAGTGATACTCTGTCTCAAAAAAAAAAAAAGTCCCAAAACAATAAATGTTGGCATGGATGCGGAGAGATAGGAACACTCCTACACTGCTGGTGGGACTGCAAACTAGTACAACCTCTGTGGAAAGCAATATGGAGATACCTCAAAGAGATACAAGTAGATCTACCACTTGATCCAGCAATCCCATTACTGGGCATCTAACCAAAAGAACAAAAGACATTCTATAAAAAAGACATCTGCACTCGAATGTTTATAGCAGCACAATTCACAATTGCAAAGATGTGGAAACAACCCAAGTGCCCATCAATACATGAGTGGATTAATAAAATGTGGTATTGGTATAAAATGTATACCATGGAGTACTATTCAGCTATAAGAAACAACGATGATATAGCACCTCTTGTATTTTCCTGGATAGAGCTGGAACCCATTTTACTACGTGAAGTATCCCAAGAATGGAAAAATAAACATCACATGTACTCACCATCAAATTGGTATTAACTGATCAATACTTATGTACACATGTATTATGTGCATGTGTAGTAATAATATTCATTGGGTGTCCAACAGATAGGAGGGGAGAGGAGATGGGTATATATACACCTAATGGGTGTGGTGCGCATTGTCTGGGGGATGAATACACTTGAAGCTCTGACTTGGGTGGGGCATGGGCAATATACGTAACCTAAACATTTGTACCCCATAATATGCTGACATTAAAAAAAATTAAATAAAAATAAAAACAAATGACTTAGATCCAGAACAGATAATGAACTCTTACAACTGAATAACAAAAATGTAAATAACCCAATTTAAAAATAACCCAATTTAAAAGAAGTGGCCAATAAACACATGAAAAGATGCTCAACATCATTAGTCATTAGAGAAAGGCAAATCAAAACAACAATGAGATACAACTTTATACCAAGATGCTATTAATCAAAAAGACAGGTAGTATCAAGTGTTAGCAAGGATGTGGGGAAATTGTGCATTGCTGATGGGAATGTAAAATATAAAATGGTACAATCCTTGCAGAAAACAGTCTGACAATTACTCAAATGGTAACATATTAAGTTACCACATAGTCCAGCAATTCTACTCCTTGGGTATACACCCAAGAAACTTGAAAACATATGCCCACCCAAAAAGCTGCACACAAATGTTTATAACAGAATCACTCAAACTAGTCAAAAGGGCCTGGCACGGTGGCTCATGCCTGTCATCTTGGCACTCTGAGAGGCTGAGGAGGGAGGATAGTGTAAGCTCAAGAGTTTGAGACCAACCTGAGCAAGAGCAAGACCCCATCTCTACTAAAAATAGAACAATTAGCTGGGCATCATGGTGCACACCTATAGTCCCAGCTACTCATGAAGCTGAGGCAGGAGGATTGCTTGAGGCCAGGAGTTTGAGGTTACAGTGAGCTATGATGACACCACTGCACTCTACCCTGGGTGACAGAGCGAGACTCTGTATCAAAAAAGAAAAAAATAGTCAAAGGTGGAATCACCCAAATAACCATGAGCTGATGAATGGATAAACACAATGGGATATATCCATACAGTGGAGTATGTATTAGCTATAAAAAGAATGAAATATTGATACATGTTACAACATGGATGAACTTTGAAAACAGAATGCTAAGTGAAATAAGCCAGGTGTAAAATGTCACATATTATATGTTATACATGATCACATGATTCCAATATGAATTGTCCACAATAGGCAGATCTGTATAGACAGAAAGTACATTAGTGGTTATCAGAAGCTGGAAGGAGGGGAGTAAATGGGGAGGGATTGTAATAGATATGGGGTTTCTATTTGGAATGATGAAAATGTTCTGGAATTGGGTAGTGGTGATCAATGCACAACTCTGTGACTATACTATAAAACCACTTTAAAAGAATGAACTTTATAAATGAGAATTATATCTCAATAGAACTATTAGTTTTTTTTCAAGTCAGTGCTGGTGCCTATATTCTTATTCAGGAATTGCTCTAGGTTTTTTTCACTCCTACATGCCTTTTTCCTTATCTTCCTTATCTTCTCAAACATCTCTGATTATGTATTTTCATTCTTATTTTCCAAATTCCCTCTTGAATTTGACGATACCCAGTGTTTTGTTTTGTTTTGTTTTGTTTTGTTTTGTTTTGTTTTGTTTTGTTTGAGACAGAGTCTCACTCTGTTGCCCAGGCTAGAGTGCTGTGCTGTCAGCCTAGCTCACACCAACCTCAAACTCCTGGGCTCAAGCAATCCTGCTCCCTCAGCCTCCCAAGTAGCTGGCACTACAGGCATGCGCCACCATGCCTGGCTAATTTTTTCTATATATTTTTAGTTGGCCAATTAATTTCTTTCTATTTTTAGTAGAGACTGGGTCTCGCTCTTGCTCAGGCTGGTTTCAAACTCTTGACCTTGAGCAATCCTCCTGCCTCGGCCTTCCAGAGTGCTAGGATTACAGGCGTGAGCCACCGCGCCCAGCCAAGACCCAGTGTTTGGACATTCCATCCATTTGACCATAGTACTTGGTCAAGTGATGAACATGTGACCCATGTCAGGCCAATTAATACCCAACAAGACTCAATTTGGAGACTTCCACTTACTCTGCTGGGAAAGACAATTTCACCATTGGATTAGGCATTGTGAGACTGAAGATACCAAGGGTCTCTTGTAAGAGCCTCAAAATGGAAAACAAACCTGAAAGAAGTATCTCTGGTGACTCCTGGTGAAATAATTTGCAATCCAAATTAAGCCACACATGAAGTTGGCTCTGCCCCTGAACATTCAAGCTTATAGTGAGCCATAAATTGCCTGTTGTGCTTAAGCCATTTTGGGTCTTTTTTGTTGTTGTTTGCAATGAAAGAATCCTAAATAACATGGTTGTTTTTCCTGGCTCTCAACCTGTCTCAGGACATGATTTCAAATCTTTGCCCCTCACAGGGATAGCACTTGGAAGAGGGTTGAGTGAGAATATTGCCTGTGCAAAAATAGCCCTAGGCCCTTTGTGTCACCAAAAGAAGGTCCAGAGGACCCTCTACCATCTCCACTGAGGACACCATATCAGGACCTTGCCTATCAGGCCTACCACTCACTGGTTCCTGCCTATCAGGAGGAACATCAGGCAATCCCCATACCATAGCACATGTAAATTGCACTCTCATGTAACACACAAATAAACGGGTCTCAAACATTTGCTACCCCTTTACTGAAAAGTTGGAAAGGAATTGATGATGACACAATGCAGGAGGTTGGGTAGAAGTTATTCTCTTCCTACCCAAAAGCCAGTACAGGAGGGAAAAGAGTATGAAGGCCTCAATAACCTGGAGAAAAGATAACTAAAGTTGGCCTCCAAGAATTAAACTAGTAGAATCCCCAAGCAAAGAATATCATTAGCCATCTAGTGAAAGCCAGCCAAGAGAATGCCTGTAAATGTGTGACTTAAGGTTTGGAAATATGTAAAACTCTGATCAAGGTAGTCATCTCAGAGAAACCAAAATGGAATGTGACTGTAATTAAGTAAACTGAAAGCTAATTGTATGCTCTCCTGCACCTAGCCTCATGCTTGACACGTAGCAGTGCCAGTAAATATTTGTTGAATGAACAAATGAATGGACCTGCATGAATGAAGGGTTCAACACAGCAGGGGAAATTAAGGAGCCTGAAGCAGGCTGTCATCCTTCATATGTAGTCCAGAGGACAGCATATCTCACGTAGATAGAGACATATTTCTGAACATGGATGTGAATGTGGAAAGAGACAATAGAGACAGACACAGAGCCAGAGACCTGGCTCTCTGTGCTTGGTCAATACATAACTACCACTGGACTGCAGATCCACTGTCAATGTGGGGGTCAGACCTTGGACCCTACTGGATTGAACAAGGTAAAATTTTACCTTCTGTGACCTCTTGGTAGCCAGCCAGCTGGCTTTTTCATCTAGCGATAACCTCTGCATTTGTCATAAGCTGAGCTAGCCTTAGCACTGCTAGTGCCTTAGTCTATCCATGGAGCAATGAAAAAGACAGTCATATAGGGTTTAAACATCAAGGAAGAGGTTTAAAAAGGTAGAAACCATGCTATATTATCAGTATATGTAATATTTGCTGTGTGATTTCTCTTTCTACAATCATACATTGGGAGCACTTGGAAGAGGGTTAGATGAGAATATTGCCTGTGCAAAAATAGCCCGAGGCCCTTTGTGGCACTAAGAGAAGGTCCAGAGGACCATCCCCCATCTCCATTAAGGACACCGTATTCACATAGGCACTGTTGCATCTCTTGCTCTATATAAAAACACTTTTCAGATAAAAAAGAAAAAACAAGTTTTCCATTTCTAACTTTACCAGGTCAATGCCAAGCCATGCTTTGCTCCACTGTGTGGTTACACTTTCTTATCAAAGGAAAACACAGGGCCTCATTGAGTTCTCTGTGTCAGTCCTAAGTAGAGAAAGGGAGTTTGATCCCATCTTGACTTATTCATTTTTTTTGGTCAAAAGTTCAACAAAAAATGTTTGCTCGAGAGAATGGATATTATGTAAATAATTAGCCCATTCCGAGATTATGTTGCACATATATAGTACAGTGGGAAGCTTTTAAAAGGACTGGAATTTGTAGCAGGACCGGAGAGTTTGTGATTTTGAGAAATAGGAACTGTCTATAGGAATGCTCATCCAGAATGTGCGAAGGATGGACTGTGCTGGTTAAGGGAATGAGGCCCCCCAGTCCACACCTGGAATCTCAAATTGCAAAGGAACAGAAATCAGTGGAGACCCAAATGCTAATACTATACTGAACCAAACAGAAGCTCTTCACCAATTGATAAAACTATTGTGTTACAGAATTATGTAGAGGCTCTGGGTCATCAGTATGTACACCAATTCCTCTACATGGCACCAAAAGGAGAGAACTTGAGAAGAAATGTGGACAGCGCATTTCTAGGATAGCCAGGTAAGAGTCTTTTTCAAAGTGGCACCCCGGGGCCACTTCTCAAGCTCATTTTGATGCCTTTTTTTTCTCTTATTTTATAGGCTCTATCATATACCTTTCTTACCTCTAATTTGGTCTCCTGAGGCTGAAGTCTGAAGCAGCTAAAGGTAACAATAATACTAAAGCCTTTATTTGACCATTAAGCGATGTCCCTATCCCCCTTAGGTAAAAACTGGAATATTTATCCAAATATCTTTGTGGTTTGTTTTTTGTTTCAGTGTTGTCTTTTGCTTTCAAAGAAGATAGTGCTGATTTCAGAAGTTGATGAATACTGAAATTGTGCCACCCATTGGTATTTTGAGGGCATTCAGGGTCCCCAGTTGATCCACTGCCTTGGAAGTGTAGCATTTTGTGGAATATTGTGGAGGGTCTAGCACTGCATCAGAGAAGTAGTCACCAGTGAGGACAGGCACCTGGCAGCCTTACCTTCTTCACAGCCTCCTCAACCTGCCCTGTGTTCCTATTGCTAACTCATTTCAGGTATCCTTGGGGCCTCGTTTCAGCCCTCAGATCTGATGCTTTCTACCCTTCCTCCAGAAAGGATGTTTGGCAGTCTCGATTTTACAACTCACATTTGACTCTTGGATTGCTTTCTCTTCTCACCACTCCAGATAAACACTCCACCTGATCCAGAAAGCAAAGCAAAGTTGGAGGGGGAAGAAACATGGAAAAAGACATTTTAGCTCACAGGAAGGCTCTGACCACCCAGGCAAGTGACACAGATCCGGTCACAGCAGCACCTCCAGTTCGGACTCCACTTGGAGATGCTTCAACCGCTGCAAGTCGTGGGGTAAATGTGGGCCAGAAGAGTGTGGGCCAAAAAGAGAATGATGAGATGGGAAAAATGTCTGTTTTGGGGTTGTGTCCAAGTGCAGAGGCTGGTTCCCCATTCCCGGAGGTGGCTCTGGCTCATGTGGTATCGGAGGGGGCTTCCTCTGCTGCTAACAGTGGGGGAAGCATAGGGAAGAAAAACCGCCGAAAGAGGAGGAATAGAAAGGAAAGCAAAGGTCTGTGCCTTCCTTGGCCTCTGACGCTACACACTTCGGCATCGTCTGCATCCCCAGTTCTGGATCAGACTTCTGCTACGGGGGCTTTGCCGGTTGCTGACAATGTGAGGCAGGAAAGCAGGGAGCCAAGGAGGACTGGTAAAAAGGGGAACTCATCAGTTCTCTCGAAGTCTCGGAAGGCAACCGCTGGCACCTTGCGGCCAGCAGCAAGCCCGGTTCAGCCCCCTCATGAGGGGGCCTCTCTGGCAGCCAATGGGGAGATAAAAAGAGGGCAGAAAAACAGCCATAGAAGGAGAACCAAAAAGAGCAGGAAGGCTGTGGCTAGTCCTTGGCCTCTGACAATACAGGCCTGGGCATCTTTCAAAGCCTCAACTCCGGTACAGACCGTTTTTGCAGGCCCAGATTCGAATAATGGGGTCAACGCGGGGCATCAAAGCAGGGGTCAAAGTGGTGATGCAGATAAAATGTCACTTTTTACTTTGGGTCAGAGTGCAAAAGCTGGTGCCCCATGCTCAGCTGAAGCTCCGGAGGAGGCTTCATTGGATGGGACACCCCCTGCCACTAACAGTGGGGAGAAAGTAGGGAAGAAGAAAAGGCGTAGAAGGAGGAATAGAAAGGACAAAAATGCCCTGGCTCGTCCCTGGCCTATGACAGTACAAGCTTGGGTGTCATTCACAGCAGCAGATTCAGTCCAGACTGTTTTTCAGGAAGAGCCTCTTGCTGCAAGTACAGGGGTGAATGTGGGGCAGAAAAGCTGGTCTCAGCTGGCGGATAGTGAGGAAGAAACGAAGTCTGTTCTTCCTTGGTCTGTGTGGGAAGAGGCTGATGCCCCCTTCTCAGCAGCAGCATCTTTGCAGACTTCATTAGAGGAGGCTCCCTTTCTGGACGACATATACATTAATCTGAACAAACCCATAGGAAGGCCTGTGAGGGTAGATGAGGAACAACAACTGCAGGAAAGTGCAGAGCAGGACCTAGAATACTTTCAGAGTTGGAGAAATGCAGAGAGATACCAGGAGGATCAGGACTTCTGGGAATGCACTGTGATGAATTTAGCTAGGCAAGTTGACTGTCATTATTGTGGGGAACTCTGTTCACAAGAGAGGATGGAGGCTTTGACCTTGACCAAAGCCTGTGCCCACATAAGTACTTCTGTGATGGGAATGCAGGGAACAGAGAAGGAAAGAGTGGAATCTCAGACTCTCTGGATGGAGAAATGGGGAGGTTTTTAAGGTACATAAGAGAAGAGGAGGAGAACTAAGAAGCACTCTGAGTCATGGAAGTGCGATTGTCTACATTTGGTTGGGAGAGAGAAGTGTTTGAAATGCTACTGTGAGGAAAGGGAGGCTCACTAGCAAATAGTAGATTTCTCCTTATTATATGGTAATATCACAATTACCCTCTTTTTTTTTTCTTTTTCTTTTCTTTTTTTTTTTTTTTTTTTTGAGACAGAGTCTCACTCTGTTGCCCAGGCTAGAGTGCTGTGGCGTCAGCCTAGCTCACAGCAACCTGAAACTCCTGGGCTCTAGCAATCCTGCTGCCTCAGCCTCCCGAGTAGCTGGGACTACAGGTATGCACCACCATGCCCGGCTAATTTTTTCTATATATTTTTAGTTGGCCAATTAATTTCTTTCTATTTTTAGTAGAGATGGGGTCTCGCTCTTACTCAGGTTGGTCTCGAACTCCTGAGCTCAAACGATTCACCCACCTCAGCCTCCCAGAGTGCTAGGATTACAGGCATGAGCCACAACGCCAGGCCTCACAATTACTCTCCTGATGGGTGATTTCTCTAATAATTAAGTTTTAAGTTTATTGGCAAATACTTCAGAGAAGCAAAATCACCTTTTATCTCTGTCTATGCTCTTTCTCATAAATTGTCTAACAACATTGGGAAAAAGTCTATTATTGTTGATGGCTGATAAACGGTATTATGAGTCTAGATATTGTAAACCAATGATAAAATGTATAATGAATCCTGAGAACACTTCTCTTGACTGGAAAATGTTATTGTATATTGTACATTAGATTGCAAGCTGCCTTAATAATTTCATTTAGTTTTGACACTGGCCAGTTTACAGTTAAGAGCACAGACTTTAGAAGCCCAATGCCTGGGTTCAAAGCCCAGCTTTGCCACTTACTACCTGTGTTGCTCTGTGAAAGTTACTTGTCTCTTCTGAGTCCTCGTTTCCCCATCTCTCGCATGGGGATAATAATAGCACCTGCCTCATACAGTTGTGTGAGGATGCAATCAGTTAATTTATGTGACGCACTCAGAAGAGTACTTAGGATACAAGAAACTTTCAAACAGTGTGACCTACTGTCATTTTACTTTTAGCACTAAATTTCATGGAAGGGTTGGCACTGTGGTATTATGTATCCTAAAAGTTGTATCAATGGGAGTCTGTATATAAGATGGAATAAGATGCCTCCAGTGAAATTATGGTAATAAAGATTCTCAAAGGCATGGAAAATGCTTGTGCAGAATATGCTTAAGGAGATTTTTTTTTTTTTTTGCGTTCTAGATATATTCTTGTTATCAGCCCTTTATTGGATATGTAGAAAGTAAATATTTTCTCCCATTCTGTAAGCTATTCACTCTAATGATAGTTTTCTTGGCTGTGCAAAAGCTTTTTGATTTGATCAGGTCCCATTTATTTATTTTTGTTGCTGCTATGATTGCTTTGGGGGTCTTCATAAATTCTTTGCCTAGGCCAATGTCTAAAAGAGTCTTCCCTACATTTTCTTGTAGGATTCTTTTTTTAAAAAATTTTTTTAGCTAATTAATACTACAAGGAATCTTGTAGGATTCTTAAGGTTTCATGCCTTAGGTTTAAGTCTGTTTATCCATTGTGAATTGATTTTTGTAAGAGGTGAGAGTGAGGATCCAGTTTCAATCTTCTTCGTGTAGCTATCCAGTTTTCCCAGCACCATTTATTGAAAAGAGATTCTTTTCCCCAGTGTATGTTTTTGTCTGCTTTGTCAGAGATTAGAAGACAATATCCTAGATAGAGCTTGAGCCCATCCTCTGAGGTGAGGTATCACAAGAATGGAAGAATAGGCTCCACATGTACTCGCCATCAAATTGGCACTAACTGATCAACACTAAGGTGCTCACAAAGTAGCAATATTCTTTGGGGCTTAGGGAGTTGGGGGTGGGTAAACTCACAACTAATGGACGCGGTGAGCATTGTATGGGGGAAAGGGCACGCCTCAAATCATGGTTTGAGTGTGGCAAAGTCATAACATGTAACTAAAATGTTTGTACCCCAGTAATATCCTGAAATAAAAAAAGAATCTTTCTCTTATAAAATCTGTCAAATAAGTTGCTATAATTTTTGATTATTTGATCATTGAATTGTATTAAATGCCTTCTCAATTTCATTCCATTGCAAGATAGAACATAAATTTAGCCATTAAAAATGAGCATCGGCCGGGCGCGGTGGCTCACGCCTGTAATCCTAGCTCTCTGGGAGGCCGAGGCGGGTGGATTGCTCAAGGTCAGGAGTTCAAAACCAGCCTGAGCAAGAGCGAGACCCCGTCTCTACTATAAATCGAAAGAAATTAATTGGCCAACTAATATGTATATAAAAAAATTAGCCGGGCATGGTGGCGCATGCCTGTAGTCCCAGCTACTCGGGAGGCTGAGGCAGAAGGATCTCTCGAGCCCAGGAGTTTGAGGTTGCTGTGAGCTAGGCTGACGCTACGGCACTCACTCTAGCCTGGACAACAAAGTGAGACTCTGTCTCAAAAAAAAAAAAAAAATGAGCATCATCTAAGAGTTATTCAAAAATGCAGAATGCAGAATTTAAAATTGAATCTTGTACACTGTATGATTTTTTTTTTCTTTTTTGCGAGTCAGAGTCTCACTGCATTGCTCGGGCTAGAGTGCCATGGTGTCAGCCTAGCTCACAGCAACCTCAAACTGCTGGGCTCAAGCAATCTTCTTACCTCAGCCTCCCGAGTAGCTGGGACTACAGACACACGCCACCATGCCTGGCTAATTTTTTCTATATATTTTTAGTTGGCCAATTAATTTCTTTCGATTTATAGTAGAGACGGGGTCTCGCTCTTGCTCAGGCTGGTTTCGAACTCCTGACCTCGAGCAATCTGCCCGCCTCAGCCTCTCAGAGTGCTAGGATTACAGGCGTGAGCCACCGCGCCTGGCCATCTTGTATACTATATGAGTTTTCATTGTTGAAATAGTTCAGTTTTTCCTTATTTTCGGAGGGATAAATCTTAATGCCTCCCTGTATGCAAGCTTCCCCCCCCCCCAATAATCGCAATTTCCTAACAAGTGTCAAAGCTTAAGTTTTTGGTGCTCCATTTCTTGTCTATTTTATTAACGATTTAAAAATTGGTGATTGTCTTTTCCCCACAAAAGAATGCTTAAGGACAAAAAAAGCAGGCGATGAAATGGTAGCTGCCATTTTGCTACTGTGTTAACGTTGGTCACCGCTGGATGGTGGCATTGTGCATGGGGGGATGGTTTTCTCTGCCTCTTGACCCATTCTACATTTCTGCATAATCACATAGCACTTCATAATCAGCAAATAATCCAGATAAATTAACCAGGGAAATGAGAAGAACAAGACTTCTCCATAGTGGACCCATGGAGGACAGTCACCCAGGTTGGAGGTGCTGAGGGGACTCGGGCCCTTCTCAGCCAAGACCCCCCGCTGGCAGCTCTCACAGAGAGGTCAAGGCACCTTTGCTGGGGCCCAGCAGAACACAGACAGCTATGCTGAGAAGGGGGTGGGGGCTTCCAGTTTTCTCCAACGATCTGTGGGAACCCGTAAGAGGAGATGACATTTCTGCCGCTGTAACCAGCCACTGCCTGATTGTGCAGGGACTGTGCCGCCCTGGCTATTTTGTTGCTGCCATCATGCCCTATGTTTGCTGAAAGCTTATCGGGGAAGCTTGGCTGGACAATGGAGCTGGGCATAATTTGAGATTAAAGAGTACATTTTTGTTTGGCCTTTTGTATAGCCTGGCTTTGGGGTCAGTTTAATTCAAATGACACCTGAATATATATCTCTGGCAATACTGAAGGGGTAGATATTTATAGAAAGCTCTGCGGGGATAGTGGGCTCAAGTGCCCCTTTTATATGTCCCAGATGCTCTAGCAGGGGCTTTGGGAGATTTTGGAGAAGTGCCCACACAATATGCAGGCAGGACTTTTCTGATGCCCACTCATCTTCCCGCCCTAAGGCATCCAGCTACATTTTGATCTCCCTGGAAGGGGACAGTAGGACCCCTAGTTGGTCTAATTCCTTGCTGTTAAAACCAGGGTCTTAACTGGAACAGGGACTGGGTGTAGGTGGGAGTTGGAGAGTGTCCATAAAGTCTCACTGTGCCTCACTTTAAACTCAATGAGGGGCTCTCTGATAAGGCATCAAGCTTAGAATATGGGAATGAAAGACTTCCAGTGGAGTAGAGCTTTGCGGGGACAGGAATAATGAACAGTGCAGATGCTTTCTTCCTCCCTGGTGACTTTTCTCCTCCACTGTTTGCTATGTCAGTAGGAAAGCCAGTGCAGGAGAGCTGAGGGGAAAATCAGGGGAAAGGAAAGACTTCTTGCTCAGTGCTTGGTCTGGTCCAAGTTTGAGGCTAAAAGGGTGACAAAGGAGGTCTGAGGTATCTTCTTTATCCGGCTCAGCTTACCAATGCGAAAGAATCAAAATGGATTTGAGACATAAGCCTGTGACTATGAATAAAGACTGAATTTGGGCCAGGCACGGTGGCTCACGCCTGTAATCCTAGCACTCTGGGAGGCCGAAGCGTGAGGATTGCTCAAGGTCAGGAGTTCGAAACCAGCCTGAGCAAGAGCGAGACCCCGTCTCTACTAAAAATAGAAAGAAATTAATTGGCCAACTAAAAATATATAGAAAAAATTAGCTGGGCATGGTGGCACATGCCTGTAGTCCCAGCTACTCGGAAGGCTAAGGCAGAAGGATTGCTTGAGCCCAGGAGTTTGTAGGCTGACACCACGGCACTCTAGCCTGGGCAACAAAGTGAGACTCTGTCTCAAAAAAAAAAAAAAAAAAAAAGACTGAATTTGCTTAACAAATTTCCCATATCACATTAGTTTTGGGAGCCTTCAAGTACAATAGCAGGCAACTGCCAAGAGTCTTGGTACAGTGTTGTGTAGGAAACCCAAGCATCTGAGAAGCATGACGAGCCTTGTGGCTGCTCTTCCTCCATATTACTACTACCATAGCTTGCAGCTAAAAGAAGCAGGGGCTAGGAGAGAGAAAGGTAGTCCGAGCATCCTCCTGTGAGCTGTTCTCCATTTACAAAGGCAATATGTTGGAGTCACAGGTCACTGAGTCAGCCTTTTGAGCTGAGCTTTCTAGTTGCCACACACTATTTCTTCCTATT